TCTTCTGGTCTCCTCGCGGTTTTAGGTGCAACTGCTGGAATTGTTGTGTTCGGAGAGATAGTTCCTCAATCAATTTGTTCGCGCCACGGGCTTGCCGTTGGCGCTACAACCGTGTGGATCACCAAGTTTTTCATGGTATTCACGTTTCCTATTTCATATCCTATTAGCAAATTATTGGATTTTTTACTTGGACAAGAGATAGGAAATATTTATAATAGAGAGCGCTTGCTTGAGTTATTGCGGGTGACGGATGAATTCAACGACTTGCAGAAGGACGAGGTTGATATTATATCTGGTGCATTGAAGTTGAAGGGAAAGAGTGTACATAACATTATGACACCACTGGAAGACTGCTACATGTTGGAAGATGAAGCAGTCCTAGACTTCAGCACGGTTACGGAGATCATGAACAAAGGTTTTACGCGGATACCAGTTTTCTCCGGCACGCGTGAAAATATTTGTGGTATTCTGTTTGTAAAGGACTTGGCATTTGTTGATCCTGATGATTGTACACCATTAAAAACAGTTTTGAAATTTTACAAACATCCAATCAATTTTGTGTTTGATGATACAACATTAGATGTGATGTTTACAGAATTTAAGAGAGGTAAAGATATATTTTAAACTTTTAAACTAAATTAAAAACTGATTTAAAGAGTAAACAGTAGGATTACAGTACTTTAACAGTATTCATTATTAGAAGTAAACATTTAAAATTCCTGTAGAGAAAATTTCCGCCCTTCTACAGTGTATTTATGTGATTTTTTTTAGAATTATACAATATATTATGCTTTTATTTTATTTACTAAGGCGAGTCTCACATGGCTATTGTAAATCGTGTCAACAACGAGGGCGATGGTGATCCATTCTACGAAGTTCTTGGACTCGTCACATTAGAAGATGTTATTGAAGAGATAATTCAGTCGGAAATTGTTGATGAAACCGATATTTACAGTGAGTTTATTTCAGTTCTATTGTACCTCACAGCCATAATCAACCAGCCACAAGTCATA